CTCATGTTCTTAAACCATTGCTTACCAGTTTCCATCACAATCGTTTCAGTAGGCTTCATCTTGTCTCTATAACAAAATAACTTAATATTTATTTTTAAATGAGCATATTAGAACAAAATTTAAGCTTAATTTCATTTAAACCTAATGTCATTCAAAAGCAACATCATCCAAACCTGACAACACCCAACAGAGCTTAAACCCATCAGAACACAAATTTAACTTCACCAAAACTCAGCAACTACTACACCTAATAGAACTTAAGGTATTTAAAAGAGCTTGACCTCAACAAAACTTAATATAAATAGAGTTTAGCAAATAATGAAATCCGTAATTTTTCCATACCAGCTATTTACCTTTATGGTGCTTACATAAAGCACCAACCTAACTACGATGTATTCCCTGGTTTCATCCAACCTTATAAACTCAACACAGACTTTGCATTCTGAATCTGCATAGTCTGCAGTATAGATACGACGCATGTAGTCAAAAAGGCCAGATGCCTTGGAAGACAGTTCCATGTGGACTGGACTAAAACACCAGGAGGGCTTTCCAGTATCATCCAACAGAGTCAAATCCATCATGAAGCAGTCCTTCACACTGCCTTTAAACACATCTGTTTCCCAGCATATACCAAGTGTCCCAATAATAGGCAGGTGCTTCCTAATATCCTTTAAGCTGACAACTGTGAGTATCAGGTATCCATTTTCAATGTCATCTCTCCTGCAGAAGAGGCCCTTGAAAGTTCCACACAGGTATCTGCAGATTCTGCCATGCAGATCCAGATGCGGAATGTAATCATGCAGTCCATATTCCAGGACAATATCACCCAGCAAAGGTTTATTAGCTGGAGGGGCATACTGAACARTAGCAAAAACTGAAATACTTCTCTCAAGGAGTTGATTATAATGAAGACTCGCCATAACAAAAGCAATTTCATTTTTCTCCTTCCAAATTCCTACTAAGAATTGTAGGAAGTCCTGGATCCAGACTGAAGAGCTGGACAAGTTCATCAGCACCGACTGTTACACTACTTTCAGCCAGGTTAGCAAGATAGTATTCAGCAACGAAGGAAAATAGACGAGGTGTATTGTTGCTGGTAGGTCTGCTTTGGTCAAGAAGCAGTGGTGTAACTCCAAATAGTTTTAGGGTTGACAGGATGTCTAAGCGCGGCCAGACTGCACCATGCCAAAGTATGGTAACAGATGTGTCTTTAAATGATAGGTTTGGCTTCTCGATTATATGCTCTTTTCCGTTTTTGTCCTTTAGAACAATTGTCCAACTCAAGCCAGAGACTTTCATAACTTCTTTGTTTTTACATGGAAGACCTGTATAAGGATCCAGAAGTTTAACAA